TCCAAAAGAGCCAACAGAGGAAGATAAGTCTAAGGCTGACAAGTCAAAGAAGAGAAAGTCTGAGAAGGGGGATTCTTCTAAAAAGAAGAAAGTTAAAAAGATGGCGAAAAGGTCTAAGAGTCCAAGTCCTTCCGGTTCAGAGCAGAATGAAGAGGATCAAAATGAAGAAGAAAAGGAAGTTCGTCAAGACTCATCGCGAGGTAACACTCCTCCTAGATCTCCTACCCCAACCGAATCTCCTCATAATAAACTTCCAACTCCATCTCCATCACCGAAACAGACAGTTTCAGTTTCGGTTCCTCTTATTCCCCCACCTACCACATCACAACCCACAACTTCTTTTCCAACACCACCACCAGTTTCATCTGTTCCTATTTCTACAAATCCAATACCAACTCCTATTATTTCCCAGTCTACTACAACCACTCTACCTGAACCGACAGTAAGAGTCAACGTATCTGATACGGGGGCTACTACTGAAAAAGAACCCCCAGTCACTTCTACACCCCTTTCACCCTCACATTCAACCGACTCCGGAGCTACTCTCGGTGGGGCTAATGATGAGTTCGATTCTATATACTATAGTCCCTATCGGCTTCCTACTGATGACGACGATGATGCTCCAGTCACAAGACAGAACCTACAGAGCATTCATGAGAAGCTTGATAAATTGATTGCGGATAGCAAAGCCTATAGTGGTGTTGTGCTTAAAGCCTTTTTGGAGACTGCTCTTGAATAATACACGGACTCTATTAAAAAGTCTACCAAAGCAGTTAATGAGTCTACCTCCTCATACCAGAAAGCCACCACTGATGTTAATGAGATTGTCCATAGTACTCAGATTTTTCTTGAGTCACTAAAAGGGCATGCTGATGCAAATGCAGCGAAGGTGAATGCTTCCATTGATTCTCTCTCTAAGTCTCTTCAAGAAGAGCAAACCAAGTTTGAGGCTGTGCGTTCTTCTCTTCAAGCCGACAACACTTCACTTATACGTTCAGTGAATTCTCGCCTTGACTCTCTTCACGCTGATCTGGCAAAAGAGTCTGCTTTGAAAGAAGAAATTGCTCGCCAAGCGTCCACCATTGAAGTACAGAAAGTACAGCTAGCCCAAACAGAGAAATAAATTTCCTTGTTGAAAACCGAAAAAGCTGTATTTCGCAGCTGTGCAGGGGATGTGAAGGATATGTTCACCACTGTTCTTGGTGCTCATGATCCTATCCTCACTTTGACAATTCAGAATCATCTTACAACCAAACTTATTCCTGCCCTTGCCATGTTACACGAGATGAAGGGTGTTTCGGAGAAATTTGTTGCTCCAAAACAAGGGGAGAGGGTGCTCCACAACCGAAGGTTACGACTGAAACCGAAACTGCTCAATCGAAGTTCAAAACCGAACTGAAGGATAATGTAGCTTCAGGTTCCAGTGCACAAGAAAAACAAAAGGAGATTGTTAATGATAGCAGTGATGAATCCGGTGAAACCATTGCAGAGGCTCTTAAACGAAAGAAAAGAGATAAAGAGCTTGATGAAACCTTGAAGGTTGCAAAAGAAGCAGAGGAGAGGGAAAGGAGAAACAAGGAAGAAAAAGAAGCCTTGAACTGCAAGAAGGCCTTGTTTCCCTTATGGACTAAAGAGGCACTTATCAACCAGGCTATAGAGTTTCCAAGTATTTATTGGTTGGAACCTGTTGCTTCATTTGACTGTGATAACTCTAAGGACTCGCAGTTCGACATGCCAATTACAAGAAAAGCATTCACGCTCCATTGCTTTGATTCGACTGCTGAGGTTCCTTTTCCTTATCCTAAGGTTGACCGAGAGTTGATTGATTTCTACCTGAAGTATGGACAACCTCAGTACTTGACATGGAGTGCTCAGAAAATAATCACTGTCAAGGTACTGAAACCAACACCTGCTGGGAAATTTGTGAATGTCAATTTCAAAATCACACGAGGTTCTGCAAACTCGGTGTCGATTATTTCCTTAGCAGATCTTCCCAATCTCAACCCTCATGATTGGATTTTATTATTCAATATTTTGCTTACAAATCCGAGGGAATATGAACCGATTTTGGAACACTTGAAGAGGATGTTGGCTTCATACATCCATGAGGTTGCGGCTATGGATCAAGAGATAGCGAAGGTGATGAACAAGAAACCGACCATCAAGCAGACACCGAAACCAGGAGATGTGAACAAGATGAAGATGGGCCAGATCGATTCAACGCATCTCACTGTGATGTTTACCAAAGGCGAAGCTCACAGATTTTTGTTTGCTCTTGTTGACAAGCATTTATTTTCAACTGACTGCTTGGAGCACATCATCAACATTATACATAGGTGCAAGCAGAACTCAGAGGCTGATAAGAAGAATTTTACTGACATGCTTCGGTGGTACATAACGTTCCGTCATCATTTGCTGACTATCATTCCGAAGGTGTTCAAAACGATAAAGAAGACTTCTGCAGCTCAACCGAAGTGAGCTTTCGGTTCCAAAGACGCAAAGGGGGAGATTGTTGAGTTTAATTGTGTTGCGTCTTGGCCTTTTTGTTTTGTATCCGGATTGGGCCTGTCCATCCGTGATTATCTGATAGGGTTATACTATAAATATGCATGCATGTATGCGTTAGATTAGAATTAATTACGTTCATAACTTTTGTAACCCTAAACACCTCTACAGTAGCAGTTCTTAATCGAGCTCTTCTGAGGTGTTGAAGTTTTAATCATTCGACACATTCAAAGCCATTCTTGTGTTCGTGTTTACTTTCTTAATTGTTTGCTTGCTCAGAATCTAACGATCCTAATAGAACATTGTTCTAACAAGTCCCGTTCCGAACCCCCTGTGGGGACCCGTTAATATATTATATATATATATATATATATATATATATATATATATATATATATATAAACTAATGATATAATATATAATAAATAATAACAATGATCTTGAGCTTCCAAAAGTCTAACAAAAAATTATGTTTTTAAATTGATAGTATAACGTTTTTGAGATGTCATAATATTTTTATTTTTAACATGTAAAATTATGTTATAAATAACTATTTTTAACCCCAAAAAATAGCTTCTTTAAGCCCAAAAAACAACTTATTTTAGCCCAATAAAAAATATCCCAAAATCAATCGGAGGGGGGGGGGGGTGGGGGTGATGTAATCCAGGAATTCGGGGTCGGCGCGGAGGTGGGGAGGCTTGAAATTTTAAGGGCGGGAGAATGGGGAAATCTCGGGGTGGGGGCGGTGGATGCAATCATCGTCCCGTTTTCCCCGTTGGCATCCCTATTTGCATTGCAATTACTATTTTGGCAAGATGTTGCGCTCGTAAATAGATCTGACATGCATGACCCCGACCTTGACCACATTGATTTTCACGACCAAATGAGGTATACCCACCACACTTTCTGCCATGAGAATACACACATATGATATGGTTGGGAGTGTGAAGATGATACAATGTCGATTCGTTATTGTTTGTATGTGTGTTGTGTTGTGAGGCATGTTGAACATGCATGTCTTGTTTGTGCGTGTCGTATCTTCTACAAAAAGTTTTGAACGCGCTTTGTTGAAACTTATCAAATTGTTGAATGAAGGTGGAGACAGTATCCAAATCACCTTTTGTGAAGACGGAAACAAGTTGGAGTGCTATCTTGGTTGCTGAGATAGAGTTACTAACATTAGCGAGTTTGTCGTAGAGGTTTTTGAGATGAGCATAATATACATTGGGAATATTGCAAGGTGAGTCTTATTGAACTACTATTTGAGATAAATGGATTGTATAGTTTTGTTATCCTCGTTGATTTCTTAAAGATGTTTCCAAAGTTTATGAGCGGTTGCCTAAGGTTTCATGATACTTCAAAACATATCCGTCTATATTGTGTTGTAGATCCACTGTTTGACGGCGACATCAAGTCGTTTCCAGGTCGCTTCATCGATATTAGCAAGACGAGGATTTTCTAGATCGATATGGTCGTGAACATCGTAAGCACATGTGTCGATATCGAATAGTTCAACTCATGAGGCATAGTAGTAGTCGATTTGATCCAAGATAAGGGGGATACCAATTCTATGTTGCTTATGGTGAAAGCATGATGGAAGAAGATTTTGTTGTGTCAATTTTTTCAACGGTGAGACCCATTGATACCAAACGAGACAAGAAATAAGGGGGAAAGTACTGTCGATGACAGCTAGAGGAGAGGGGAAAAAAATTAGGACTTTGACACCATAAATTCTATCATGTACTTGTACTTCTAATTGGTAATTGTCAACTATAATTCCTTTTAAAGAAAATTTGTCAACCCTTAGTAAATGATAAAACCTTTTAAATAAGGGAAGAATATAGATGTTATTTTTACATAAATAAATACAATATATTTAGAGAAATCATTTACACTTTTATTTTTTATTCCTATTTATCTTTTTTTTTTTGAAACGGCAAATTAACATACTCCTAATTTACTCCTAAACACCACCTATGTCTCATAGTGAGACTTGAACACATGACCTCTTATTTGAGAGTCACTTCTTACCGTTAGACCAAATGCCCCAACAAATGTCAAAATTAAGAGAGGGGATTATGAGAGAAAATTAATAGAATCTACATGTAGAAAGATATAAGTAGGATTAGATCATTATTTTATATATATAAGAGGATGAATAGGAAAAATATAAAAAAATATTTAATTTTTTCATATATTTATGGTCTAATAGAAAACATAGCATATTTCAACTCCTATTCTGTACTTGAATCTGGTTTCTTGTTGAAAAATTGATGGTAACTAAAATCTTCAAAATTTACAACCGTGACAATATTAAATGTCCAAATCTGTTGGTCAACTTCACTAACGTCCAACTGTCTCATAACTTCCTTAATGTATAAAACATATGTACAATTTTATTTTATTTTATTTTTAACTTATGGCCTTTAGATTACCTGAAACTAGTTGGGGTCATATGCCACCCACCAACAGATAAGAGAATATATAGACACAGATGCTCATGAATGCATATTATATAATATGTTATTTAGAATTAGTGTTGATATAGTTAAAATTACAAGGTTTACACCCGGACTCCCAGTTGAGTATATGATTTTTGCTAGTCCTCCATCTAGCTAGGTCTCTCCTTTTAAGACATATATGTTACAGTGAGAAAGAAAAAGCTATATAGATCGAGAAGGTGAAATACGACTTATATATTTCAAGGTTTGCGCTGCTGGGTGTAAATGTAGTCCAAGTGAGCCTCAGCAAGAACTCTTCTCTTCAAACACTCTTCGTCTCCACTTCCACAGTTCTCCATGCCCATAAGCTCCTATAAATTAAATCATTCCCAAATAAAAAGATAATCAATAAACACCTAATAGTTAGTTAATTGGTATAAGAAACTTAAAAAAGAAGGTAATTTACATTCACGGAGTTGATGGTTTCCAACTCAACAAGAGATCCCTCACTGCTGTTGATCGATTCATCGTGTTCCACCATCTTTTCACCTGTATATATATTCATCCAAAAACGTTAGATTTTATTAAGAAGCTTATCAAGTTACAAGGAAAAAGGTTTGATTACCTGGTTTGGTGTGCAAGAAACGCGCAGATGTATGTGAAAAGACAACAAGGGAAAGAATGAAGATTAAAGGAACACCACAACGGACGCTGTGCTTCATTGTCTCACCTCTGGGGTGTTGCTCAGAGAGAGAGAGAGAGAGAGAGAGAGAGAGAGAGAGAGAGAGAGAGAGAGAGAGAGAGAGGAGGGTGTGTTTGTAGGGTTTGTAATGTATATATGTTGTTGGGAGTTGGGGTAGCTTAAATACATACAAAGTGGGGTGAGGGGCACTGATATATTCATCCAGATAGACTCCCAAAGAAGCTGCTTATATATATAATAATATTAATCTCTCTCATACACACACACATTTTATGTGGTTCTATATCAAATTGTCTACTTCCATTTGATATTCTATCTTCTATCTTTTATATATCTTTTTGATATTCCATCTTTTTTGATTGATGAACTTTAGACAAGTAACTTATAGTTTAAGATTTTCTTGTAATATACATGTCGCATTTATTATAAAATGTATTGGTATATAAGATATATTTTTTTTTAATATAATATTTTCTTGTTTCTAAGAAAATGATAGGGGTTTTAGGACAAGTTCTTATAGTTATGCATCGTTATACTTTGTTATGCGATAACATTTTGTTAAATATCACAAATTTTATTGTTATATATGATTTTAATTTTAGAAAATATATATGTTTGTAATTATGGTATAACATTTGTGATTATGAAACATTATGATTATGGTATAAAAAAGGCTCCGATTTGCATGGAGGTATGATTACGGTGATGATGATGATAAGTCATGTGAGACCACCATTCATGAGAGAGTGGTGTTTGGTCATTGTCAAAGGGTATAGTGGTCCTAATCTTGCAAGAATCAGTGTGTGATAGTGGCTGACAGCATCAACCCAAGTCAACCTTTCCACGTACCCACAACTGTTTCCCATCTTACATCTCCGACCATTCACCCTTTACCCTCTTTTTTTCCCTTCTATTATTTTACTCGGAGATCCCGCTACTTTTTTAAAATAAATCTCTTTCAGCCCACATATATTAAAAACAGTTATTTATTAAAATAAAATAATAGCTTAGGGTTGTTTGTATTTAATCATTAATTATTATTATTATTATTATTATTATTATTATTATTTTTGATATTCATTGAAGTTAGTTTGATTGTGTATATTATACGAAGGTTCTAAATAACGTTAAACATAATTTGGCATCTGCAACATTCCAAAATCAAGACATAATTTTTGTTTTTGTTTTTAGGTTAGTAAATCATTAATACATATCATTCCCATAAGACCAAAGTAATCAAGCTTTAGCTAAACATCTTAAATCAGAGTAATTCACAAAATGCAGAAACATGTGGTGTGTGCGGTGCAATCATCCCGAACTCTCCCATTTGAAACCAGAGTACCTAAAACATAAACTGAAAATCGTAAGCACATAGCTTAGTGAGTTCCCCAAAATACCATACAACGTACAACCACAGATTATAATGCAACATACATATAGTTGCCATGGGCTCCCCCCGTGGTCTTTATCTGGTATGTCATGGGCTCCCCCCATGGTCTTTACCTGGAATGCCATGGGCTCCCCCATGGCCTTCCATGCAAGCATCACAGAGACAACTAGCATACCACATAACACGTAATGGGCCGACATTGGTGCCTTCGACCCATGGATATAGTGAGAAGACTCACCTTGATCGACTGATAACATAATCCTTCACTTGTTGCTGCTACAAACCAGTTCCACACACTGAGCCAAGCCAAACTGATCTAAATTAATATCCAGGGATAAACCCAAAACATAGGCCCAAAGATGGCCCAATCTAACCCGACTTACTAATGGCCCAAACCAATTGGGCCTACTAAGGCCCAAACCCAAGTTAGGCCCAACCCAAACTCCTTAAGCCCAAATTGGGCTATCCAAACAGATAAGTCCAAACATGGCTCAAAACAGAAAGTCCAACTCCAAAATCAAGTCCAAAGCAAAAGGCCTAAAGAGACCACTGATGACCCGAACGCCCAGCGTTCACGAGATGAACGCACGACGTTCACAAGATGAACGCACGACGTTCTCGGCCAATGTCCAAAAATTGCACCAATGACTTAATACCTTAAGTCCAACGTCCAAATGCTCAAAATAGCTTCATATTATTGACTTAACCCATAAAGTTGTCAATTTGGTACCTTTGCATGGTCCAAAAGGACCCAATCATGATTTCAAGCATTCTAACTCCATAAAGAGGCCAAGATGCAAGCATTTACCTTAAGACCTTAGTTTAAACTTCCAGATCTGATTCAAAGGGACTTCTTAAGGCATAAAGTTCCTGACTTTATGACTTACTGTCACACCCCCGAACCGAGTAAAACGGCGGAAACGTCCAAGGGTGGATGACGTCATGTACAGTATCATAACAATTGCATAATAGAGATCAAAACATTACAAACATTGTATTGATAATTTAATATTTACATTGTATTTGAATCATTGTTTGACTCCAAAAGCATACAACAAAATATAAGACGCAACAATACTAAGCTCCGTCTTCACCAAAACATGTGTGAGTACCTGTCTACTGATTTCCTGAGAATACAAGTGGTTTTGAAAAAGAGAGTGTCAACAATTAAAGTGGTGAGTTCATAAGTATTTTTGTATGAGAATTATATGTCTTTGTTCCTTGAAAATGATAGTGTGTTCTTCCAGAAAATCCAATATTTTCTTTAAGATGTAATGTAGTCTTAAATGTTCCAAGACCAAAAGGTATAAGTATTGTTGTACATTGTAATAGTATAGTGTAGTTTTATATATTTATAAAATTGTTTGAAGGTATATTTCTCGAATGTAAACTGTATTGTACTAGAAAATAATGTATTGTAGTTGTATCCATGTAAAACTCTTTGAATGTATGTTTCCAGAATGTAATATGTTTTATACCGGAAAGTAATGTAATGTAGTTTTAAATAATTAAAACCATTTGAAGACGTGTATGTATTTGTAAACCAAATGTATTGTTAATACCCCTTGTGAGTTATTATAACCATACTAATGCGGCTAGATGGCCTGAGCGACGTTCTTCAGGCGTCGGAACTATAACGACATTTGTCACCCCAGACCTGCCGGTCTAGCTGTTGCAAGCAGCTTAGATGCGGGATTGTCAGTACCGTATAGATCCATACACAATTGTCACGCTCTCCCTCCAGGAGACTCTGGTTATAATACATGACTTTTGATGGTACTTAGGTAAGTACTTGAAGATTATGTCTCACAAAGCTATATTAATGGTTTACGTGTAGTGTAATGAAAACTCATTTTTCTTGTAATATTTGTATGTAAATGTTTACATAGTATGAAAAATAATTATTCTTTTAAATAATTATTTTCTAAGCCCCAACCGGGTAAAATAGTAGTGTATATGCTCCATAAACTATACCTATTATAGTTTATATAAATGCATCATTGAAATGGTGAGCCCTTTGTATATTATTATCAAATTTGCCATGATAATAAGTTGGAATCAAATAATTATATATGTTCGTTTATATAATTATACCCTTTTTGCTCGACATGTTACAAAAGGGTTAAAGTTTTATTGTATCAAATTTGTACCCATATGCATATTTATATTTAGTAAAAATATAAATGTAACTGTTTGTATATTAACACAATTTATCTTGTGTTTTACTTGTATTCCCCCCCAAAACATATAAAAATCGTGAAAACTGTAGGGGTATGAACTCACCTTGGGTGTGTTCTTGGCTGGATAACGGTATGAGTGGTGATGTTCTTCGTGTTAAAACACGTGTGTACAGTCGTATCCTAATAATATTTATACACGATATTGTATGTAAATTAGTGAAATAACAATTTAAAGTGTTAGACAACATTAGATTATGTAAGGATACTTACAATATATCCTTGGAATGAACTTAGTTTCCTGGGAAGTTGGGTGAATGTTTGAAGATGTTCTTGAGATATTATGAAGATATACTGGGCAATGATATGAAGATATGAAGGTTTACTTATGATTTTTGAGAGAAAAAGTGAGGAGATTTCGAGTGAAATGTGAGAAATGAGTATATGATTTAGGCTAAACATTTAAATATGGGGTAAAAGGTGATGGGATGTTTGCGTTGGATAGTGTAATTTATCACCTAGGATAGTGTGACACCGCCTAAAGTAAGAGATTTCGGTCTAAGATACCACCGAAATCACCTTGATTTTGGTCTAGGATCCAACCGAGAACTAGGGTGTTTTCGGTCTAAAGGTGAGATTTCAGTCTGGTAGGTCCTCGGTGGAGGGGATTTCGGTCAGAGGGGTTTGCGGTCCGAAGGTTCTCGGTTCCAAGCTTGTTCTCGCTCCAATTGGTTTTCGGTCTAAGGTGTTCTCGGATCAAAGGTTCTAGTGGATGGGTTTTTGATTCCAAAAACCAAAAACACTCAAAGTGGGGTGTAATTTACTATATTTTGGAGTATAATATTTAACTATTTAATTCTTTGACTTATGTTTGATTCGTTTGACTTTGGTTTGACTTGTTTGACTTTTATTGACCCGGAATAACCGGTTGTTACACTTAGCAAGACTTAATGGGACCCAAACCAAAACCCTAAGTCCCAAACTTTACCAAAAGACCACCAAAACATGCATGAAAGGTTTATACTCATCAAGATCCAAACTTTAAGATTTCATAATCCCAACAAGGACCAAATATGTAGCTCAAAGGTTCTGGAGTAACTTCTACTCACAAGAACCACCAAAAAGGGACCAAAACCATAACCAAAACCAACTAGCTAGATCTACATGAAAGAGTTGTCAAGGTTGAGAATTTATACCTCCAGTAGTTAGATCTAGGTGAGCAAAGCCTGGATCCAAAAGCTCTAAGTCAAGCATTGACTTTTCAAGAAGTTCCTTCTTTCTTTTCAAGCACCAAAACACATAAAAATCACCATGAAGCTCAAAAATACACATATGGGGGATAAGGTTTCGTTCTTAGGGTTAGAGAGGATGGAGGCTAAAGGAAATGAGGGTAGGAGGTGAGTTAAGGTCTTTAAATAGGGTCCAAGACCCTAAATTAGGGTTTTAATTTAGCCTGACGAACGCAACACGTTTGTAACACCCCG